GATAGTTTTGGTCTCTGCCTCATGTACAATGTTACAAACCTCCATTCATAGTTTTTCAGGCACTCTGTCTACCAGATCTAATCCGTTGAATCTATTCATCACCTCTTCTGTAATATAAAGGGATTTGATTTAGGTCATAGCTGAATGACCTAGTGGTTTTCCCTATGTTCTTCACTTTAAGCCTGAATTTTGCAATAAGGAGCTGGCGATCTGAGCCACAGTCAGGTCCAGGTCTTGTTTCTTGGTTTTATTTTTTTTTTTAGTTTTTTTTTTTTTTTTACTGACTTTATAGAGCTTCTCCATCTTTGGCTACAAAGAACATAATCAATCTGATTTTGATATTGACTATCGGTTATGTCCATGTGTAGAGTTTTCTCTTGGGTTGTTGGAAAAGGGTGTTTACTATGATGAGTATGTTCTCTTGACAAAACTCTGTTAGTCTTTGCCCTGCTTCATTTTGTACTACAAGTCAAAACTTGCCTGTTATTCCAAGTTTCTCTTGACTTCCTACTTTTGCATTCCAGTCCCTCATGATGCAAAGGACCTCTTTTTTGGCATTAGTTCTAGAAGGTCTTTTAAGTCTTCATAGATCCAGTCAAATTCAGCTTCTTCAGTATTAATCATTGGGGCATAGACTTGGGTTACTTTGATGTTGAATGGTTTGCTTTGGAAATGAACCAAGATCATTCTATCATTTTTGAGGTTGCACTCAAGTACTGCATTTTGAACTTTTTTTGTTGATTTCTAGATCCTGTATGAGACCTTAAATACTAAATTTTGCCACTAGCTAGTGTGATTTCAGCTTCTGGAAGATTTCTGCCTGGCAGTGGAAATTTAGTATTTTGAGATAAGAGCACAACATAGAGTTCCTAGTTGTGTGCTTTTTAAACCTAAATAAGCAAGCTCACTGTAAACATTGAGTCACTATTTCATGCAACACTGTCAGAAGTAGTATTTCCAAATTTACCTCACTGTCTAAAATAATATGATTATATAGGTCCATTATAAAATGTTGCAAAATACTCGAAAGCTTGCTCCCATTTACTTTATGCTTGGAGGTTTTCTCAATAGTGGGGCATTTCACTCAAGTTTTGAAACCTGAGTTATATATACAGCAGTCAGCAGTTTGAGGCTCATAGCTGGCTAGCTAATTTATCTGGCTCCTAAATCTCTGATTCAGAGCCCGGAGCAAATATTTCTAGGGGTTTTGGATGTTGCCTCATTGAAAGAAGCCTGCTTTTCTTTCTGACATTACTCTGAGGAAAATAAAAGATATAAATGTTTATCTATGTAAGTATCTCTATCTGTGTATACATGTATGTGTATGTGTGTTTATTGATTATATTCTCTCTCTCTCCAGCATTCTTTTGCTTTTGTTATTCCTATCCTTTTTTCTTACCTTGATCTTACCCTCATCTATTCTTTGTCACTTGCTGGTATCTTTTTCTCTGTCCGCAATTTCTTTCATTTTCAGCCTTGCTTTTCTATTTGTCTGATATTTGTTTCATTATTTTCCCTTTACACTCACTGTTTTTTTTTTTTTTTTTTTTTTCCATGCCTTGGTTTTATTTTTTCTTTTCCATCTTCTCTCTCAAACTTCAGAGAATGGGCTGCATGTGGCTTGACTTCTACCCTCCATTCCTTTCCCTCTGCCTTCTTACTCTGCTTGTTGTCCACCGGAACTGGTTATGGCAGTCGTGTTTTCAAAGGCAGAGCCATTTTATTCAGAGATAGTGGATTGTGTGGAGGGTAGGGAAATGGTGTTACTGTTCTCCCATCTTTTTTGAAAGGAATGTCCTATTTGCTATTAGTTTTCCTATACTGGGGAAAACCTAGCCTATGCATTTTTCTTCTGAAAACAATTTAGAACAGATTATTAGCATTTTTCTCCTTACCATGGAAACAGATAGACCAATTAGGAGACTTCATTCCTCCCTTTCCCATGTAGCAGTTGCTTTTTATAATCATCTGACCTCCTCTTTCTACCCCCTGCTATTCACTTCATGTAAAGGATCCACATTCACAATAGTCTTCTAATTTTTGTCTTTGAGAGAAATGGTATGCCCATCATGAATGAAAAATGTACTCTTTTGTTGGAATTAGTATCTTGGGGAACGGGCCCAATTCCAATTTGCTACCTAAAAATGACTGAGTCAGCTGTGTTCTTCCTCACTTCTTGTTAAATCTGCTGAGCTGTGTGGCAGCCTGGTGGTCTGCCTGTTACATTTTTCTCTAAGTATGACTTTGTTCCTGAGGAGAGTGGAAGTACAGGAAGTTGATTCATGATATTTAGAGATTCTTGATGCTACAAGGTACTGAGTTTTCCAATTCAATGGAATAGTGGATTGCCCCATCAAATCTATTCTATTCTTAATTTTAACTGAAAAAAAAAAAGTTAGTTCATCTACGTATTATTTACTTTAGCACTTCCAGCATACCAGGCACTTGCCTAAGTCTAAGGCAGAGAGCATACCTTTCCAGAGCTTACAGGACAGGAGTTTTTACTCTAAGCCACATATTGGAATCACTTAAAAATGTACTTAAGTCTGAGTTTCACTCTTAGAGATTCTGATTTAATATCAATTTTTAAAAGCTCTGCAGATGATTCTAATATTTAACCAAGGATGAGATCTGTAGGTATAGGGCAGCAGTTGTCAGCCTATGATCTCAAACCAACAGCATCAACACCAGTATTACCTAGGAACTTGTTAGAAATGCACATCATTGGGCCACACTCTTATCTTACTAAATCAAAAACTCTAGGAGCAAGGCCAAGCAATCTGAGTTTTAACAACCGCTATAGGTCAGTAATTTGCAAGCTTTTTCTATTAAAAGTCATATTGTACACAATTTAGGTTTGTGAACCATAGGTTCCTGTTGCAAAAACTTAGCTCTGTCATTAGTGCACTAAAGCAACCATAGACAGTATATAAAAAGATGACTATGACTGTGCTCCAATAAAGCTTTATTTATAGAACAGGGAGTTGGGCTGGATTTGGTCCTTGAACAATCATTTGTTGACCCCAGCTCTAGATGATTCTGATACATGTGATGCATAGTTGAAAATGTTACCATATATGATAAACTATTTTTTTAGGGAAGTAAAGAGTGTCAAGAGAGTGAATTAGAAGACACTTAGCTTGATTTGCTGGGTGAGAAATTCAAATAAAAAGTACCAGCTAGTAAGAATTTAGATAAAAGGCAAGGATAGAGCATTCTTGGCAGAGGGAGCTTTCATGCCACATTTCCTGAATATGTATCCTCTGTCCATTCAGACTCGCCTTCTTATTGTCTTACTGATCTGTCAGGGATACCTATGTCTACATGAATTTTTATAACACTTCTCCTTCTTAGAATGTCCTTTCTTTTCTTCATATCCACTTTAGTCTTAACCTATTCTTCAAGGTTCAGTTCAGATTGTAAAGGAAATTTAAAATGCCCTTCCTGTCTCCATATATGTGAGATATCAGACTGACTCCAGTTGCTCATGAGAAGGCAATGCAAAACCTTTAGGTCAAAGAGCAAGAGAGCTGCTGAAATAAACTGCAAATTTGCAGGTCATATTGGAAGGAGTCAAAGACTTTAGGTGAATTGATGGATACATATTTAGTATTCAAAGACTTTGAGCAAATAACAAGACATTTAATTTGCTACAAGAAGGAGGTATTCCAGAGAACAAACTACATGGGATGAGATGAATGTAGCACACCCAAAAGAGAAAACCAGACTAGACTAAAATAGTCTAATAAATACTTTAAACCATTATAGATTATTAGCTCTTCTTTAGTGAAGAAAAACGAAGGCTGGTAAATCCTTTATGGATGTTGATATTTACCATTCAATATAGATAGTGAATTAATATTTTCAGTAAGTATTTTTGTTATCCCAAAGTATTAAAAAATATTTAAGTTCTACATTGAAATACCTTTTATATACTTTCAAATCAATACATCTACACTGGACAGAACTTACTTGACTATTTAGACTTGATTGGTTAGATTAGGCAAAATCAGAGAAGTAGTCTCCCTTACAGGATTCTGCCTCATTGAGGCTTACTTCATTATGAATCTGCTACAAGTTACACAAAAGCATGGAAAAGACAGAGAGGGTGAATGAGAGTGAGCAAGAGAGAGAGAGGGGAGTGTGTTTATAAGGTTAATTTAAAGATATTTTGACAGAAGCCATAAGAAAATGATAGGAGTCATGTTACGGCTGGAACTAGAAAATGTAAGACTTTCTATTCTCTGCTAATTTGTTTAGAATTTATCCTGACAGATATGGTGAGACATTTATATTTAAACATTCAATGGGAGTGATATGATTAATCTTATATTTTACAAAGAAACTCTAAAAAATATGTGGAGGAATAAACTGGAGAGAGGTAATCATGGACAGGGAGAAAATAGTGAATTCCATTTTGGGTGTGTTGTATTGAGGTACCTCTGAAACATAGGTAATTTTCCCTCACCATCCCAAAACTTCCTGCATCAGTTTTTTAACTGGAGTCTTTTATTAAACTACTCACCTAATGAACCAAAAATTAGCTATTAATAATCACATATGCATTAGAAAAAAACAGAAATATTAAAGCAAAAAGGAATTTTAGTGAACTCAACTAAAATTGAGCCTCCTCATTTTATAAATAAGAGTTATAACTATAAGAAATTTTTTTCACATTTCTCCAACAGATTTATTTTTTTAAAGGAATGGAATTTGAAGAGAAAAAACATGGGGCAGAGAGGTATGGAATAGAAAATAGATACTAATGTAAGATGTTTTGCTAACTACTTTATAACCACAACAAACTAGTACAGAGAATGCCCTATACAAAACATAATAAAGGTTCAAAGATGGAGGTGTTCCCTTAGGCAAGGCTGAAAATAAAACAAAATAAAATAAATTAAAAAAAAGCCTGAAGACTTCAGTCTCTGGTATTTGGAATTTAGGCTGCAGTCCTTTTTCTTGGATGGATCACTGGGTGTGTAGCACAGTCCATGATTTTAACCAGATTTGAACAGGAGAATGGCCAGTTGGTCCAAGTAGAAGTAGATGAAGTGTTTGGATTCATGTGTCACATAACTACTGAAGTTCCTCCCCATGGTGCAGTGCCAGGTGGGGTTGTACTTCTTGTCAAACTCCTTGATATGGGCCGCAATGTCCTTCTCTATATTATATTTCTCCAATGCCTGAGTAGCACACTCTACCGAGTCCTGTTGCATCTCCTCCGACATATCAGCATTCTTGATCACGGCCTTTCGGTCATACACAGTTACCAAGGAGCAGGGGCTGGCCGACTGCAACAGTCTCCTGGCGAAGGGCTAGCAAGGCTCACACTTGCATAGAGAGGCAGTTGCTGCCAAAGCCGGGGCGCATCTATAAGAAGTTTTATGTAAGCTTCATGGTAATTGCAAAGAGAAACACTTGTGATAGAAAAGCTAAAAGAGAAATAAATCAAAGCCTACTGCTAAATATGGCAACCCACTCCCAGTATTATTGCCTGGAAAATTCCATGGACAGAGGAACCTGACAGGCTACAGTCCCTGGGGTTGCAAAGAGTCTGACTCAACTGAGCGACTAACACACACTGCTAAAAAGTTGTTAAATTAGAAATGAAGACACCAAGAGAGGAAGGCAAAAAAGGAATTATAAAACAGGCAGAAAACAATTACCAAAATGGTAATGGTAAATCTTTACTTCTCATTAATTACCTTAAATGTAAATGGATTAAATTTCCAGTGAAATGACAAAGTGACTGGATGGATACAATGCATGATCCAACTAAAATTCTGCCTACAAGAGATTCGCATTAGCATTAAGGATGCATATAGGCTGAAAATAAAGGGATGGCAAAAGATAATCTTTGCAATAATAATTAAAATAGATCAGGGGTGCTAATGTGCTCAGTCACTTCAGTTGTGTCTGACTCTTAGCGATTCCATGAACTGTAGCCTGCCAGGTTCCTCTGTCCATGAAATTCTCTAGGCAAGAATACTGGAATGGGTAGCCATTTCCTTCTCCAGGGAATCTTCCCGATCCAGGGTTCAAACCCAGGTCTCCTGCCTTTCAGGCAGATTCTTTACCATCTGAGCAACCAGAGAAGCTGCAATGATCAGGGGTAACTATACTTAAATCAGACAAAATAATCATTGCATCAAAAGTTGTCACAAGAGACAAAGAAGGTCACATACAATTGTAAAGAGGTCAATATGTCAAAAGGATATAGCACTTGTACATATATATGCACAATGTCATAAAACATAAATATATAAAACAAATATTAACAGAGATGAATGGAAAAATAGCAATGCAATAATAATTGGGGACTTTAATACGCCACATTTATCAATTAGCAGATCATCCAGACAGATGAGTAATATGTAAAAAAAACAAAACACTTGAACAACAATGCAAACCAAATAAACAGAGGAAATATACACAGAACATTCTACACGACAGAAGCAGAATATGCAATCTTCTCAAGTGCATAACGGATATTCTACAGGATAGATCACATATTAGGTCACCAAACAAAATTGGAATCATATTGAGTATCTTTTCCAATCGCAATGGAATTAAACTAGGTATCAATAACAGGAGAAAAATTGAGAAGTTCATAAGTGTGTGGAAATTTAATAACCCTCTCCTGAACAGAAAATAGTTAAAAAAAAACTAACAGCATCTTGAGACAAATGCAAATGGAAACACTCTACCAAAATTTATAGGATTCATTTAAAGCAGTTCTAAGAGAGAATTTTATAGCAATAAATAACTATATTAATAAAAAGGAAATACCTCAAATAAACAATTCAAACTTATACCTCAAGAAACTAGAAAAAGAAAGTATTTTTCCTTTTGAACATATTTTTTATTATAACACCCTACTTTTATGTATGTGTGTGTGTGTGTGTAGTAAGAAGCATGCAGATATACATTAAAAATACACTATTTTATACAGAAAACATCATATGTAATAGTCAAAGTTAGATTCTAAAAATAGCAGGGTAATTCTCCTACATTAACCAAAACTGAATCAACAGAAAAAAACCTCTCTGGTGTATTTTTATGGTTATACTTTTCATGATTGGTCCAATTGAACTGATTTTTGCATCAATGGTAAACACTTATTGTATGAGTTTCAGATTGTGTGGATTTTTGTGTGGATAATTGAATATTATCCAGTCTATTTAGCATTAGTCATTAATCAACCATTGGATATTGGCTGTAATATTTGTACATATTTACATGTAATCATCACATGGACAAGTTTATAAACATCATGGAGCGTTTGAGAAGCTCTGATTATACATGCATTCCCCAAATTTAAACACTTTAACATTTTTTGTCAAAATATTTTTTAAAAATTAAACTTACCACTATAGATAAGTAATTATACAGAATTATAAGGCATTTAGATTTGTTCAAACTATCTTCAGATGGGTTGTGTGTCTACTAATGAATCTTTGCAACTGGATATAATATGAGTTGATTATTCAACATCAGTATTTAGAGAAAGAATCTTTGGATTCAACATAGAAGAAAATGAATTCTCAAACACTTGTGGTATAAAGGAGGAGGTTGAGAAAAGCAATAGAAAAAACAAAAAATAAAACTAAACTAAAGTATTTGTGTAGGTGTTCCTGAAATGAATAAGCGTTGCCCAGGCTGACATTTCCTTAGTATAGTGTCTTATTTAACTGATGGCTTTTCTATTCCTATTAGAAGGACTTATATTATCTAAACTTTGTGTATGTTAATTCTAGGGAAGTGGCATGTTCTGTCTACACTTATTATTTTGATTCTAAGGCTTATTTTTATTTTTTTTTTATTTTGGGGTATAATTGATTTACAATGTTGTGTTAGTTTCAAATGTACAGAGAAGTGAATCTGTTATACAAATTAATATATCCACTCTTTCTAGATTCTTTTCCCATATCGGTCATTATAGATTATTGACTGGAGTTCTTTGTGCTACACAGAAGGTCCTTATTAGTTATCTATGTTATTGATATATATATAGTAGTGTGTATGTGTCAATTCCAATTTATCCCTCCACCCTTTACCCCTCAGTAACAAGTTTATTTTCCACATTAGCAACTCTTTTGGTTTTGTGAAAGTGTTAGTCACTCAGTCATGTCCAACTGTTTGTGACCCCATGGACGGTAACCCATCAGGTAGATAAGTCCATTTGTAGCCTCTTTTTAGATTCCACATATAAGAAATATCATATGATATTTGTCTTCCTCGGTCTGACTGTCTTTACTCAGTATAAGAATCTCTAGGTTCCAACTAATAAAAATAATTGGGAAAAATTAAAAAAAATAAAATAAAATAACAAAAAATTAAAGAAATACAGTGAAGGGTAAAAAAAAAAAGAATCACTAGGTTCAACCATGTTGCTGAAAATAGCATGCATTTTTCCTTTTTCTGGTTGAGTAATAGTCCATTGTGTATATGTACCAATCTTCATTATCCATTTCTATGTTGATATTTCGGTTGCTTCCATTCCTGGCTATTGTGAGTAGTGCTTCAGTGAACATTCAATTGCATGTATTTTTCAAATTATTGTTTTCTCCAAATATATGCCCAGGAGTGGGATGGCTAGATCATATTATAACTCTTGTTTTCAGTTTCATTAAGGAAAGCTCCATACTGTTCTTCATAGTGTCTGTACCAGTTTGCATTCCAACTAACAGTGTAGGAGGGTTACCTTTTCTCCACCTTCTTTCCAGCATTTATTTTTTATAGACTTTTTGGTGATGGCCATTTTGACCAGTGTGAGGTGATACAACATGGTAATTTTGATTTGCATTTCCCTAAAAATTAGTGATGTTGAGAATCTTCTCATGTGCATCTGTATGTCTTCTTTGAAGAAATGTTTATTTAGATCTTCCACTTATTTTTTGATTGCATTGTTTGACTTTTTTGATATTGAGCTGCATGAGCTATTTGTGCATTTTGGAGATTAATCTCTTGTGGTTTGCTTCATTTGGAGTATTTTCTCTAATCTGGAGAGTTTTCTTTTCATTTTTTAATGGTTTTGTTTGTTGTGCAAAAGCTTTCACTTAATTAACTCTCATTTATTTTTTGTTTTTTATTTTCATTGTTCTAGGAGGATGATGAAAAAAAAAAGCTTGATGCAATTTATATTAGGAAGTGTTCTCCCTGTGTATTCCTCTAATAGTTTTATAGTATCCAGCCTTATGTTTATTCGAGTTTGACTTTGTGTATGGTGTTAGGGTGTGTTCTAACTTCATTCTTTTATATATAGCTACCCAGTTTTCCTCGGAGAAGGCAATGGCAACCCACTCCAGTACTCTTGCCTGGAAAATCCCATGGATGGAGGAGCCTGGTAGGCTGCAGTCCATGGGGTCATGAAGAGTCGGACATGACTGAGCAACTTCATTTTCACTTTTCACTTTCCTGCATTGGAGAAGGAAATGGCAATCCACTCCAGTGTTCTTGCCTGGAGAATCCCAGGGACGGGCGAGCCTGGTGGGCTGCCGTCTATGGGGTCACACAGAGTCAGACACGACTGAAGCGACTTAACATCAGCAGCAGAAACCCAGCTTTCCTAGCACCACTTATTGAAAAGACTGTTTTTTCCTCCACTGTATATTCTTGCCTACTTTGTCACAGATTATGTGACCATAAATTCATGGGTTAATCTGTGAATTTTCTGTCCTGGTTCATTGATCTGTATTCCTGTTTTGTGCCAATACCATACTGTTTTGATGACTGTATCATTTGTAGTATAGTCTGAAGTCAGGAAACCTGATTCTTCCAGCTGTTTTTCTTTCCTAAGATGGCTTTGACTATTCAAGGTCTTTTTTGTCTCCACAAAAATTTTAAGACATTTTGTCTTTGTTCTTTGAAAAATGCCATTGGTAAGAGGACAAGGATTTCACCAAATCTGTAGATTGCTTTGGGTAGTATAATCATTTTGACAATAGTGATTCTTCCAACCCAAGAACATGGTATACTTTTTCATCTGTCTGTGCCATCTTTGATTTCTTTCATCAGTGTCTTATAATTTTTGGAGTTCAGGTCTTTTACTTTCTTCAGTAGGCTTAGTGCTATATATTATATTTTTGATGCAATGGTAAATAGGATTTTTTAAAATTTTTCTTTTTTATCTTTCATTGCTAGTGTATAGAAATGCAACAGATTTCTGTGTATTAATTTCATATCATACAACTTTATTAAATTCATTGGTGACCTCTAGTAATTTTCTGGTAACACCTTTAGTATTTTCTATGTATGCTATCATGTCATCTGCAAACAATGACACTTTTTACTTCTTTTCCAATTTGGATTCCTT